GTGTCCATGCTATTCGACCCAAAAAGGGAATAGTTAATAAAAACGTTAAAAAACCAACGTGCTTTGGATGCGGTGGTGGTCATTTTAAAAGTGAATGTTTTTTTTCGCGACAAAAATTGCTTAAAAGACCACACATATCCTTTGCCTTTCACCAGAAGACATTTTTGCAAATTTAAGTGGAGGAAAAATATTCGCTAAATTGGATTTATCGGATGCCTATCTCCAAGTCAAAAATGGACGCACAAAAGACATTTGAACCAATTAAGGAAAAGAATCATCGAAGAAATAAGTGAAGAAAAGGAAGAACCAATGGAGGTATTATATGATTTATTTGATATACCGACTCCACCATCGCCTGAAACAGTTGTTCAAAGAAGGACAAGCAAAGAAAAAGAACGAGGGTGGAACGTTTAAGTCCAGATCCCAAAAGAAAAAATATTAATTCCTCCGGAATTAATCTCAAGGGGAGGTGTTGTGTAGGAACCTACCACCCCTCTTGAAGATGAACTCGTCTACAAACAAGGACGTTAAATAGTGGCATGTTAAAAGACAGTGTCGGAGAAGTTCTGGGCTGAGTTAGTTATAGACTACTCAGGCGATTTCTGTACCAACTTACCAACCGAATAAACCCCATTTTATTGTTACATGTTATTTGGCGTTTGTCTTTATTAACCCCAAATTAACATCATAACAAAATCATAAAACGACAAGAATTCATTGGATAATAGATCAACATTATTTTGTAATAGACAATTTACAAATCGCAGCAATGCGACAATTTTATAATCGTTCTATTTTCATGTAGTCGATTTTGTGCACTTTTGGGAGAAACGGATTCCAGGAGCTTTCTTGAGTCTCCCCAAAACTCGCCTGCTGATTGGTCAATTCCAACCAATCAGATTGTCTGCACGTGAAGAATAATTCTTCCCGCGCAGCGATTCGGAGCCGGTGATCACCTATATAAGCAAGAAATATTCTTAGATAATTAGTGAGATTTCAGTTGCCAAAAGAAAATCCACGACAGTTGAAACCATGCGCCAATCTTCTCACTCACACCACCACTCACACGCTGAATATTCCTTACACTCACATAATCTTTTCCCTACACTGCAAAACTGTTGAAAACATTTATTACCAGAAACTATCACAAACTTCCTTTCTTCCAGTGAACTTTGAAATACAAATAATAGTTAAAGGGGAAACAACTCTTGTTTTACTCAATGTATGTCTTCTTTCACATCCTTGTTTGTACATCTTGTTAAATACAAATTTTATGTGTCATGATGTCTTTTGCTTATCCTTTCTTCACCTCACCCAGATACATTTATGTTCAGACATTTGTTAATCAACTATTGTTGCTCTGGATATTTATTGGACACTTTTAAAACATTCAGCTGGCCTTAAATACGTTAAATTGTAATAATTTTATCATAATTTTAATAGGTGTTATTAAATATATAAATCTATACAGAAAATTGTATCTGTTAATCTATTAATTATCTTACCATCATTATCTATTAATCTCTGATTATTATCTGATATTCTATTAATTACCTATTAATTTCTTACGATCATTATCTATTAATTATCTATTAATCTATTAATTACTATTAATTTATCTATTAATCGAAAATCTATAGATCTTCGAACTAACCAGACTGCTACATCAATATTCATTGTCCATTTTATACTGTTAAGCCATTTTAACATAAATGTTTAAGTATATCTCATTGAGAAAATTCATTAATTGACTAGTTTTTTTTTTTTTAATTTTTCATTTCTTTTAAAAGTAAGTATACTTCTATGCATGCGAATTGTCTTTGTTCAAATAAAGATGCTTTTGCGCATGCGCTTTGGTTTTTCGTGCCCGACAAAAATCAGAATGGAAATCTGAGAAAGAATTGTCGTCTGCTTATCCCTACCTTCCGGTGAAATAATTAGTTGGCAAAATAAATGTGATTGTTTGAATAAAAAACATGCAGTTTACGATTCATGATTTCTGACAACGGATTTGATTTATTGCGAACGTTTTACTTTGGGTGAAACGAGGAAAAACGAAGATCACAATAACCGCCTCTTGTGTCGATAAAAGAAAAAAAAGTCCATCAAAAAGATAAGAAAGAACGATTTTGATTGGCTCTGCGTTGTACCAATGCACGATCTCTAATAAGAAGCCGAATAATTAATAACAACTTTATTTATAACTGAGAATAGGGAATATTACGTGTGTACAGGTACAGGTGTAAAGAATTGGGATTAGAACATTTATATATTCCGAACCACATCCTAAACGAATCTACTAATAAAAAAAAACGCTGTTCTTCAACATATGTCTATTTTTGAGATGAGGTCTTGTAATTATTAACATCGTTCGGACTGTTGTTCCCATCTTTATTGTCATATTCACGACATTTCGACAATTGTACGCTCCGGCCTTCTTCAAGTGATATACGTTGGAATTTCGAATCGAACCCTTTATTTTGTTCACCGGGTTAGATTGTTCTAATTCCACGTGCCATGCCTTTTTTTTTCCTGGATAACTCAGTTTCAGTTATTTCCTTTTAGTAACTTAACTCTCCAAGTTTTTGTTCACCTCTGCTGTAGCCAGGTATTGAACTCTCAACTCTTTGAGTCAAGTCACTGAATTACTTCAACCATTGCTTTTATCCACTAGAACTAGAAAAGAGGTGGGGAACCTATTGCCTCTTGGGTCATCACGTGTGTATTATTATTGTTATTATTATTATTTACAATATAGTTGTAAAGAATCAATTGATTATTGTATTTTTGGATGATAATGCTTTGTAACGTGAGCGAGGGAAAGAAACATTTATTCTCCCAATTACATTTCGCCCATTTGGGCTATTGTCATATCCGTGATATAAGAACACCATAGCTCACGGATAGGACAGAACCTATCGCTGAAAAGAAAAAGAATGACAAAAACACTTTCTTCTCAGAGAGACTTTTATAATATATATAGACATATATATATATATATATATATATATATATATATATATATCGACTCTCCCGTCGAATTCGATGTATGAGGGTCAAGCAGATCAGTTCCTAGGAAATTGACAGCCCGACACCAGCACATGAGATTTGATTATAGAGGTGAAGGTTTTGTGCAGAACCATCCACACTTTTTGAAGGGCCGAATACAGAGACTTGGTGCACCACGTGCCACAAGTACTCCAAACGACCCTCCACAGGTTTTTGAATTCAGAGTTGTCCTTCTCCTAGACTAGTTACCATCCAAGGCTATAGAACTCAGTCTGTCCTGCTATTTACCCATAGCTGGAGAGAGAAGAGGATTCACACTTTTCCCAAGGGTATTAGTACGTATATATATATATATATATATATATACAGAAACCTGCAGATAAAATCCATTTTACTATCAAAATCCTCGTAACGAGCGGATAGCATTTTGGCGAATCTCCGAAGTCGGAAGATAAGTTGAACATTTAATTGTAATTATTGCTGTTAATATTAATTACCATGTTTCATCAGAAAGTGGGTGATTATGGTCTTCCACAGCTTCCTTTCCTACAGTCGTAGTTATTTCTTTGTTCTGTCCTGTTTCATATTTTCTTCTTCTTCTTCTTCTTCTTCTTCTCAGGGTTTTCTGCCTTTTTTGCTACTCTTCAGATTTCTACTCATACTTCTTATTTCACTCTTTCTTCTTCTTCTTCTTCTTTCTTTCTTTTCTTTTTTCACTGATTTCTTTTTCTTTTTCGTTTGCACATTTCTCTTCATACTTCTTCTTTCTCGCTTTTTTTCTCCCCTCCTCCTCCTCCTTCCCCTTCTTCTTCTTCTTCTTCTGTCCCTCTGTTTCTTCTCCTATTCTGTTTTCTTCTCTTCTTCATCATCTTTTTCTTCTGTGTTTTCTTCTTATTCTTCTTCTGCCCGTCTGTGTTTTTTCTTCTCCTTCTACTCTACATTTCTTCTCATATTTCTTCTTTCCCTCTTTCTTTTCCACATCTTCCTCTTTTTCTTCCCGACTTTAGTGAGTTTTTTTATTCATACTCCTCCTCCTCCTCCTCCTCCTCCCATTTCTCCTCCCTTTCCTCCTCCTCCCTTTCCTCCTCCTCCTACTACTACTTCTTTGCCCGTTTATCAGAATGACAAAAAGAGGAGATGACAGCGTTTCATGAAAGACAAAACTGAAAACTGAGCACTGAATTCGAAGCAAATACATCGAACCTCACCTACCTCCCACTTGATATTGATGCAAATGTGACGGAGGAGATTTTGAACATTTCACAAAAGCCGAACGAAAATTCCAGAAATTCAGTTATACACCACACGTCCGTCCATTTTTCGCTTCGTGTGCTGCAAGCACAATGATCACGTGACACATATAAGTGCCCATGGCGTTGCCGCCCTAACTCGATTCAACCATCTTGATTTCGCCCATCGCCAACCATAAGGGCCTCTTGCGGAAAACAGCGACGGTATTTACTCTGCGAATAAAACTTTTGACAGAAACATTTTGGTGAGTAAAGGAGAGCCGTAATTGTATGAAACTGCCCGACGCTTAAGAAGACAACAGGGCGTGGGTCAGATGATTGTGGAACCAAACGGGCAGGGCCGAGGTGGAGCGACTAACTCCGACGCTTTAGTAATGGCGTCAGTCACTGAATATCTTGGATTGGATGTATAAGTCACCTTGGCACTCGCTATGTATGCTCAGCGTGTATAGGGGCAAAAGCAAGAATTAGCTAGAAGGAGGCTTCAAATTATAATGTCTCTAGTGCCTTATTAATATTCATGGTCTGAATTTTGCAAACAGAAAAGGTACAACCATCTTTGGTTGGGTGTCATGTCATATTCATGCCGGGTAAATTAAGTGGCCCCCTAAAATCTGTCGACTGTCTTAGCACAAATATAGCAATCTTAACTGAAACAGGTTGTTGATCAAGGTTTTCTTTTTTTAAGCAATAAAAAAATAAAAGCGAATGTAATAATGAGTGACTGTAATCTGGGAGGATTTAGGGAGCTATCAAAAATATCAAACTTAACATCGAAAAAATACACATTAAACAGATAAATAGATAGATAGATAGATAGATAGATAGATAGATAGATATGAACAGACTGAGATAGATAGATAGATAGATAGATAGATAGATAGATAGATAGATAGATAGATAGATAATGAACAGACTGAGATAGATAGATAGATAGATAGATAGATAGATAGATAGATAGATTTGGGGTCGAATATAGATAAAATAAGGATCAAAATCCGACAGAATGATAGGACAAGGAATAAATAGGAAACGTTTAAAATTTAACATATTTTTTACTTTTATTAAAGCTTCATCATCATAGATAGAGACATTAATGAACAGGCTTAGATAGATAGATAGATAGATAGATAGATAGATAGATAGATAGATAAGGAACAGGTTGAGATAGAAAGATTGATGTATACATACATACATACATACATACATACATAATAAATAATAATAGCTGGTCACTCGTATTCGAGGATACCCATCTATTAGGGCGGCTAGCTAGTCCCTATTGCAGAGACTTGCTCAGGCACATTTGTGCTTGTTCAACACCCACAGAGCCCACCTGTGGTTTATACTGCAACTATGCTGAGCAGACCTTAGTTACACTTTCTGGGATAGAGCGTATTATCTAGCGTGATCAACAATCTGAACAAGGCCAGTACACTCAAACTCTCGGTCACGATGACTTGTGACTTCGTGCTAGCAAGGATTCCGTCTACCCAATTTCACTCACAAGGCTTGGGTCAACTCGTGGTATGGTTTTCAGGCACTTTCCAAAGGTGCCACACGCTGGGACCTAATACATACATACATATACCTATAGATAAATACATATAGATGCATACATACCTACATACATACATAATGAACTGCGATAGATACATAAATACATAATGAACAAGCTGAGATAGATAGATAGATAGATAGATAGATAGATAGATAAAACTCAATAATACCTACTGACATGCATAAAATTACCTAGAATATAACTTATTTCAAGGCGAGCAGAATATTTTCACAACTAGTGCGACAATAAGCAATGATTTTATAAACCTTCAATCGACTCGTGGGCACACTGCCCATCAGGGGCAGATTTACATGGCTATGTGACACTGGTTAACGGTTTTAAAAAAAAGCAACTGATTTTTTTTTTAAATTCCATGTAACTTCAGGACTGAAGCGATCATGGAATATTTGACACATACATAAAATACATACTTGTGCAAATCAATTGAAACAATCGTTTTAGTTTCCTTTCTTTCAACATACGATCAGTTTTAGACCCACTGGAGTGACAGGGTGTAATCGATTTCTATTTTTTCTACAGATCAGGTCATTTGCATTAGTGTGCCGTAATATGAATGTATTTCCGAGGAGTATGATGAATTTTTTTTTGGCCTTGACAAATATTGCGTCATGCGTGATTGCAACAGATTTTTATCACGCTCAGACACTATTGTCTCGACTGTCGATTAGTTGTCCTACGGCCATTGTCTGCGATGGTCGTTACTCCGAGGAAGCGTACGAAAATTGTAGCGCTGCACGAACACACAGGCGAGCCTTACCAGTGAGCAAATCAAAGTACTATAGACTGGCACGGAATCTCTCCTGATTTAAATCCAATTGAGAATCTGTTGTCAATCTGCAAGGAACGACTTCATAGAATGGACATACGAAGCACTAACATGTACACTGGGTCATGTTTCATTGAAAAAATACGAAAAAAGTAAATAATAACAGAATTATTCGTTTTGTTTCAATTAATTTGCACAAGGGTGTACATATACAGACGCAATATAAAATTGTAACACTGAAAACCGATACTAATTTTAACCTGGGTACAGCAAGTGCAAGGCCTAAGAGCCACTCAAAGTAGAGAATTAATAAATGATGTTCAATGTAGATAATGGTTGATATTAGACTTTAAAATGTTGACAGTATAATGACTGGGAAAGCATCCTCACGGGAGTTTGTCTACAAAGGAGCGTTCTTGGAAGGAAGCTGTCCGAATGGAAGTTCCTTCCTACCAGCAGAATACGAAAGCAATGAGGATGATTCGATCCTGCGTACGTGGCTGTTGAGTCTTAGATTTGAACTGGTGGAAAAAAGGAATGTTGCGATTGACGAGCGAGATCCTTGTGACATTTAAACTCAGAGAAGATTGGTTGTCGGGTGAAAATAATTTTTCATCAAGAAGGTAGTGTAAAGACTTTTGCACTATGCCACGTCTGGAAAAGGAGAATTGTGAAGCTTTTTTATTTTCTATCTATCTATCTATCTATCTATATATATATATATATATATATATATATATATATATATATATATATATATATATATATATGTTAAGAAATGGACAAGGTCCGACAATTTATTTATTAAAAACATTTTATGTTTAACGTTGTTATTTATAGATACAAGTATTTAAGCAAATGCTCTGTTTATGATAAACAGTATTAAATAACATTTACCGGCCTTTAATGTCTTTAATAAATAAATTGTCGGACCTTGTCCATTTCTTTAACATATGACGTCATTGTTTACATTCGATACGCCAGAGCAGTTATGAATGTACGAGATTCATGGAAGATTGAAGTTTATAAACAGTAAATTCGACCTTGTCTACCGTAAGTTTTTGTGGCCGAGACGGTTAAGGCACGTCAGCGTATATGACGGTTCCGTATAGGATGCAGGTTCGAATCCTGTCAAAAAGAACGAATATTTTCTATGAAAATTTCTCGGACATTCAGGCCGGTAAATGTTATTTAATACTGTTTATCATAAACAGAGCATTTGCTTAAATACTTGTATCTATAAATAGCAACGTTAAACATAAAAATGTCTTTAATAAATAAATATATATATATATATATAGATAGATAGATAATACATACATACATATATATATATATATATAGTTAAGTTACGAAGGACTTGGTAATTCCAAGGAGGATGAAATCCTCAGAGCTCAATGTGAATACAGAGCTAATATTTAATGAAAAAGCAGACCACTTTAAGGTACCATTACAATAATTTATTTCACCAAAATCCTTTTTGAAGGACTCCGGATCATCAGGTAACAATTCCAAGAACGAAATGAAAGGAAAAATAGGATTAGAAATTGATGGGTAGTGTAATTTTTGTAATTTAACAGGGAGAGTGATAGTTGTAGTTAACGAGACAAGGTAGATTATAGAGAGGGGTAAATTTCATATTTCTCTTAAGCAAGTTTTATATTGGGGTAGGAGAGGTGACTAATCGTGACATATTTAGATGGTTAACTTAACGGAAATGATATATAGGAATGGGAGGGGAGTGGGGGGAAAAGAAAAGGAAAAATGGAAAGGTGATAGACAACAGTAATACAGATATATCTAAATGAGTGTTACAGCAAAGAGAGAGGGGGAGAGGGAAGTGAATCGAAAAGGCTGTAATTTTGTTTTAACAAAATTATGTAAAAGATAGATTTCAATGCTTGATAGAAATTTAGATGTCTAAAAAATGATGAATATTATCAATTTAAACATTTAGTTTTTTAAGTAAATAGTTTAGGGATTTAATATAAGTTAACTACTTTTTTTATTAGCACATTTATCGAGAACCTATTAAAGAAATATTTAAAATTATAATAGTTTATTTACCCGACCAATTGTACTTTCATAATATTGTAAAAAAAATTTGGTAACAATAACATCTATATTAGTTTTACTTTAAATCTAATTTATGAATGCAATTTTTCTTTATTATTATATGGGTAAATTTAATTAAGGTTTAGGTTTCATTATTTAATAATATTTGAGGGTAATATTAAATATTTTATTTTCTTCTTATATGTATCTCAAAAAAACATATTCATGCAAATCCACATATACATACGTCCATTTACATGTGCAAATACACACATAGACACACGTGCAACAATATACACAAATGTTCATCCATCTTCATACATAAATTACATATACACACATACATTTCTCAATCATTACCTATATTTTAATATTTGAAATTTATTTAGATTTTAGTTTGATTTTATAGTTAAAGTTTAATTTTAGGTGACTTCTGAAGTGCTTCATTATTAAAGGGATTTCGTTAATATTATTATTACTATTAACAGTTAAAGAGTGGTATATTTAAAATTATCAATTTTAAGATGAAACTCCCTGAAGAAGATAAAAATACACTCTTAAAATTTAATTATAGAACATTAAAAGAGAAAAAGCAATTTTAAAATACCAAGAGAATGACCCAAGTACTTCCATTTAAAAAATATTCCATACACGTATAGACACATACATATATATATATATATATATATATAGATCCATCCATCTACATATACATATATACATATAGGTATACTCATATACATATATACACCCTTATATACATATACAACCATATATACACATACACACACATATATACATAAATACCTACATACCTACACACGATTATATACAAAAAAAGCATATAGTTCTACCCATAACTATCCATACATGAATATGTATTTATATTACAATGTTATACATCTAATCACAAATATATTACAAATATTAATTCTAATGTATATACATCTACGTACATATACAGATTACAAGTAGATTAATATTCAAATTACTACACATATATAAATATATGTATACATATATATATCAGTACATACACACACAAAATACATACACATATACCTATACACATTCACAAACACACACCTGTACACATACATCCACACATATGCAAAATACACACATATATATATATATATACACATATATACAATGATACCTAGCACAAAATAACGTTAGTACTTAAACATACCTCATACTTATATATTTATACTCACACATATGCATATATACATACCTATACATATACACATACCTCCATACACATGTGCCCGCAATTAAAAGAGTAAATATATCGACATAGGCATCCTTATCCAAAACGTTCATACATATATATATAAATAGATAAATTCACATATAGATGTTCATCTGCGTATATATCAACAAGCATAACATCCATGTATACATACATTCATTTCAAAAAACAAAAATTAATATTTTCCCTTTTTAAATAGTTGTTTCTAAACATACTTCGTTAAGTTGAGGTGGTTTTTATGTCTGCATTTACAAATCAACTCGTTATGCTTGTTCCGCAGTATGTCCGGATCCTTATGCTTTATTATTAAGATTTTTTCTTTAATGCACAAATTGCATCTGTCTCTGAAGTTTATCGGAGTCCTAGCTCTCGAGATGATACTCCATTTTACTTGTGGGGTTAATTTGTTTTCCAATGTTTAGAAAGTGCAGTTTGATGTTTCTTTGATTTATATGTGAAGGATTGGCGATGGTTATAAAACCGTTGCTTCCAATTTCCCGCCGATATCCCTATGTAGATTTTCTTCTGTTTGATATCTTCCTTGGGGAAAATTGTAGCCTCGTATATCACGTTTTCGGACAAACATATTCCCTCTACTGGACAAACAGATCCTACCCTGCAGTTACAGGTAGATTTGGTCTTTTGGCTCGTATTAGGATCTTTTTGTAGTTGATTATGAAATTTATTTAAAATGTTGCTATTGTGGGAGCTAATAATTTTTTCTATGTTGTTCATGCAGGAATAGCTAATTTTTAAATTCATTTTATTGAACATCTTTTTTAATAGTTTATCTTTTTTTAAAATGTTTATCTATAAGTTTAAGAAAGTACTTTCCTATATTAATGTTCGGAAGCTTACAGAAAGGTGGGTTGAACCATATAATTTTCCTTTTTCTATTTTTAGGTTTAGAAGATGTGTTAATAGATTTATCTATATAAGTGAGTGTTTGAATTTGCTTTTTAATAGGGCTTGATTGTCTTTTGATTTATTTTGATAAAAGATATTTTCATTAGAGGATAGTTTATTTATTCTAGTATTTACAGTGTTAGGGATCTGTTTTATAATTGCCATAGGGTGGTTTG